CGCAGGTGTGATAACGAGGGGTAGGGGGATTTAAGCGTACAGTATGGAGGGCCATATCAAAAAGGCCGATGTAATAAGGTATTTATGAATTTGCAGACTCCACAGCAGGCCAGGGCAGTAGTAGTGATTAGTTGGACCTGTTTCTCCTGTAAACAGAGTACTGGTTGTTTCAGGCGAATTGCAATGGCCTCTGCTGTTTGGAGCATGCGGTACCTCGATGATTTTGGCAATTTATTTGGCACCCGATAGATGATGATAGAGAAGGATTCTTCAGTAATAATAGCTTTGTGTCTGCTTTGGGCCACGTGGTCTAATATCGAACTGATGACGGTTTTCAGTACACCCTTACTTAGCCATACTGGGAGATGTTCTCGAGCACGAAAAGTCAAAGTTCCTACAGAAACGGCCAATATAACTCGCTCCACAAGAGCAGTTGTAGTTGAATTGGTAAATACAATTAGAGGTGGCTAGTCTAGGTACTTCATCTTTCAGCCGAGGAATCACCATCGGTTGTATAGAGAATAAGACGTGTAGTTCGCCAGTTCGCTTGTTATATCGGAGGCCTTGAATTGCAGTCGTATATATATATATATATATATATGTATATATATATATATATATATATATATATATATATATATAGGCTTCTTATTTACATATGGACAATATTCCTTTTCTGCTTTCTTTGTCATGTGTTTCTTGGTGAACTTGTCTGGATAGCTATTTTCGAATAGAGGCTGTCAAATACAGTCCTATGTTCATCTAGTTTTCAGTAAATTAAAAATCCCCGTAGTCGATCTAATTAAAACAAATTGTGATCATGAGCGAACAATTGTTTTCCATAACTCCTTCCTCATGCTCTACCGTTATTAATCCATGATTCCATTAGAATACAAATAGCCATCGTTAAAGACGTTTGAAAATTATATCAAAAACTGTCTGAATCGGGGCGATGCTTGACTGTGAAAGGAATGCCGAGAAAATATATTACACTGATCAAGGCACTCACTCTACTCGAACTCATGTAGTCAGCCAGGTGAGGGCTTACGGCGAGTTGTCATCTGAAGTGGTGATGACTAGTGGTGTCCGTCAGGGATGCCCATTATCCCCATTCCTATTCAATTTCGTCATAGATGTACTAATGGATTTAACCCTAACTCACTTCAGAGACTCAGGGATTGACTTGCTACCAGGGAATAATCTCGTTGACTTAGAATATGCAGATGATATAGTCCTTCTAGGCGAGGACGCTGATAAAATGCAGATACGGTCTTCTGAACACCTTGAGCTGCAAACTATGAATGTTTGGCATGCGATTCGCTCGTGCTGCTGTTAAATGTAAGATGATGTTACAGGACTGGACTACATCGACTCACTCCTAGCTTAGAAATAAGGAGTGAAATGGTAGAGTACATTGACCGCTTCACTTATTTGGGAAGTACCATCAGCCAGTGCCAACGGATTGATCTCTGACCAAATCTCAGCCTGAATACAGAGAGCTAGTTTCGCATATGCCAGTTTACGCCGTCTCTGGCTTAGTAGACGCGATATCCGACTATCGACCAAAGGGTGGGTGTACTACTCAACAGTCCGCTGTGTCCTCCTTTATGGCCGTGAGTGAGACATGGCCATTGAGATTGGAAGATATGAAAAGATTAGCTGTCTTCGATCATAGGTGTCTACGTTCTATCTCCCGCGTGAAGTGGTATAATAAAGTGTGCAATATTGAGGTTAGGCGTCGAGTGCTAGGTAGGTGGGAGTGTAAATCAATTGACGAGGTTGTGAAATTACATCGACTGAGATGGTTAGGACATATGTTATGTATGCCTGGTCATCGCCTTCCTCGACGGGTAATGTTAGCTGACATAGGATGAATCAGGTTGGAAAAGAGCTAGTGGTGGTCAAACCAAAAAATGGCTTCATCAGTCAATGAAATCCATCAAATTAACTGATCATCTTGGCGATAAACATTCTTAAATATCAGTTCATAACTTCTTGTATGACTACAGCTTTACTGTGACCATGCATAATCATATCATAGCTTCCACTTCCCAATACTGAGTTATTATTATATGATGTTTGTTTCCCTTTCTACTTCTTGGTACTTATTCGCATTTATAATTATTTTGTGTTTATACTGTTGTTTTTTTTTGCTGTTGGTGTCTTTATATTTATTATTTTTTTGAAATACTCCTTTTAAATGTTTGATAAAATTAAATGCAAATATTGTAGATATGTGCTGAAAATTCCACACTGTACCACTAATACTGTTTCTGGAATAAAGCAAATTATTATTATTATTACTTCTTATAACAAAATGTGAAGAGTTGTATCAGGTTGTACCAATGTGATTTGTGTGATAGACATTTAGTTTCTGGGTTTGTGTTTGTGTGTTTGTGTATGTATCAGTCTTCCGAATTGTTGACCAAAGTAGAGTAATCTACTCTACAGTAGTTGATGTTATTTTCATTCAAGCTTGAATGAAAATAACATCAACTACTGTTGTTGTTACCTACCTGGGAAGCATCGTTTCAACTAAAGGCGGACGGAACTGACGAGGATATCAAAGCAGTGAGGATCGGGAAAGCAAGACAAGCTTTCATTACTCTCAAGTCTGTGTGGAGCAGATCAACAGCACTCCTCAGCATGAAAAATAAGAGCCAGATTTTCAACTCCAATGTGATGAAGTCAGTGCGTGGCACGTCATAAAGAGCAACTCAGACAAGCTACAGACCATTATCAACAGCTGTCTTCGCTCAATACCACTCAAGATCAGATGGCCGGCCAGCCAGAAAAGATGAGCAACAGAGATCTCTGGCAATAAGCTAACCAACACAGCAGGAACCAATTGTGAAACAAATAGGCAGGAAGAAATGGAGATGGATTGGATTGTGGCCATACTCTGAGGAAATGAACCATCAAGTGAGTGACATCACTAGACAAGCCATTGCTCGAGTGGAATCCGACTGAATTGGAAGTGGCGAGTTGGTCGTCAGTGAAAGGGTGAGGGTGACATGGAGGAGATCATATGAAGAGGAGATGAAAGCATGTGGGCAGACTTGGAGCCAGGTGAAGACTCTAGCAGAGAACCGAACGTAATTGAGACGCACGGCTGAAGCCCTATGTTCCTCTAGGAAAAATATATAGTTTGACAGTTGAGAATGGTTTCCAACTGAAACACCAACGCCAACCGTACTTTGTAGAACAACTAAACTCTTTCCTCCGACGCTTCTTCAGCTCGAATGTGGTGTTATGTTTTCTCGGTAAGACTACTTATCACTTATTTTATTCCTTTACGCTCCTCGTAGAACATAGGGCTTCAAGTTTGATCTCCAAAGTTTCTGCAGCAGTGGCTTTGTTAGCCTAACGCCCAACTTCGCCTCTTTACTACCACCAGCTTAGCGGGACCTAGGAGTGCGTGGTTTATTATTATTGTTATTATTTTTATCATAATACTTATTGAATATGTTTATTATTCTCCTTACACTAACAGGTTCAATGGTCACCGCACAATGAAACAATACTTGCTAGTTCAGGTACTGACCGACGTCTTCATGTTTGGGATTTAAGCAAAATTGGTATTGATCAGTCTCCTGAAGATGCAGATGATGGTCCACCGGAATTATTATTCATACATGCTGGGCATACAGCAAAAATTTCCGATTTTTCATGGAATATTAATGACCCATGGACTATTTGTTCTGTTTCTGAGGATAATATTTTACAAATTTGGCAAATGGTAAGTTGTTACTGAGGTTACTGAGATTTTACTTCATGAGTTTTTTTGTGTCACAACTGACTGATAAAACTACTTTTTAGGTGTTAGTGTGACTGTTTGAAGGCTTTGTCATCATTTTAACTTGTTTTTATCTGTGCATCGGTGGCACAGTGGTTAGGACTCTCGCCGACCATGCACATGGTCCGTGGTTCAATGCCCTGCTGTCGCACACCTGATATCTCTGTGGTCGGCCCCGGCAAAATTTGGGCTACCGATATCACATGCTGAAAATTCCATACCTGTACCAAAAGAATACTGTGTGGAATCCAGCTGTAATCCCCATTATCGCTCATCTCCTCTCCCTCCAACTCCCCCACACGATCTCCACCATGTCACACTCGCGCCGACGATCCATTCGCCCGTCGCCTCTCATTGCGATTCCACTCGAGCCAATGGCCTGCAATGTATGCCATATCATTCGACGGCCTCTTCCTCAGCGTATGCCCGATCAGTTCATATCTATTTCCTCCGATATATTTGTTGAGCGATCGGCAGCTGTTGGTTGGTTTGTTCATTGCCAGCGACAGTTTCTTGTTTCTTTCTGGCCACCCTGCTGCTGCTGCTGGATTCAACATAGAACTTGGCACCGAAGTGCAGCAGTTCGAGTTGCCACGTTCCAAAGAGCACACAAAGGTAGACAATAAAGTGAGTGAAGAGAATCAATAGAGTTTTGACAGGTATAAGAGTGAAACAGAATGAGTAATGGTAGAAAGGAATATGAAAGATTACACAAGAGACTGAATACATCTGCGTAAGCCATTGACAACGATTTTGAGCCATGTCACCTATTTTGTCTCCAGCCATTGATTGATTCTTAGAGTCCCGAGGGCGGGCCCCAACCCGGAAGTCTGCATCTCCCTCCCTACCTGACTCAGTTTAACTGTCAAGGATTTCATGGATTGATGAGGCCATGTTTTTGTTTGGCATGGCACCACTTACTCTTTTCCAACCTGCACCTATATCAGCTAGTAATGCCCGTCGGGAGGGGGAGGCGATGGTTAGGCATGCGCAGCACGTGACCTAGCCATCTCAATCTATGTAACTTTATAGCCTCGTCGACTGATTTTCCCTCTTTGCCCAACACTCTACGCCTAACGTCAACATTACTTACCTTATTATACCACCTAACGTGAGAAAGGTATCGTAGACATATATGATCAAAAACAGTCAATCTTTTCATGTCTTCAACTCGTATTGGTCATGTTTCAGAGTCAGCCATAGAGAAGGACGGAGCGAACTGCTGAGCAGTACACACGTCCCTTGGTTGATAGCCGGGTGTCACGCCTACGCCAGAGATAGTTTAAGTTAGCGAAAGCAGCTCGAGCTTTTTGGATCCGTGCTGAGATTTCGTCACCAATCAATCCGTTGGTGCTGATACAACTTCCCAAATAGGTGAAGTGGTCAACATGTTCTATCACTAAAAAAGCTAGGAGTTGACGTAGTCCAGTCCTGTAGCAGCATCTTACATTTTACAGGGGCGAATCGCATGCCAAACATACGAAGATTGCTGCTCAAGGTGTTCGGAAGACTCTGCTGTGTTTTGTCAGCATCCTCCCCTAACAGGACTATGTCGTCTGCGTATTCTAAGTCTATAAGACTATTCCCTGGTAACAAGTCGATTCCTAAGTCGTTAAGTTCAGTTAGGGATACTTCCATTAGCATATCTATGATGAAGTTAAACAGAAATGGGGAAAGTGGACATCCTTGACGGACACCACTGGTTGTTATCAATTCGGATGACAATTTCCCATAAACCCTTACACAGCTACGTGAGTTTGAGTAGAGTGCCTTGATTAGTGCAATGTACTTTCTTGGCACTCCCTTCACAGTCAAACATTGCTATAGTAACTCTCGATCCACGGAGTTGAAGGCCGCCTTCAAGTCAAGAAATATGGCAATTGTTGGACGCCTAAAAGTGTGTCTATGTTCTTAGATCTGTCGGAGAGTGAAGATATGATCTATGCTCTGGCCACCCGGCTGACCACCTGACCATTTAATCTTCACTATGGGGCCAGCTAGCCAACCAGCCAAGGTGGCAGCAGTTGGTAAACGTCTGTAGTGAACTGTTGGAAATGCTTTTCCTGACGCAAACGCAGTGCAAGTTTCTGACCCGTATAGAGAAGGTGACTGACTGACTGACTTCAATGATATTTGTGTTGAAAATCCGAACGTTCTTCTTCATGCTAAAGTGGACTGTAGAAGATTTCTGAACGGGTTCCCGGTTGATGAAGGAGTATCTTGGCTTTCCGATTCTGGCTGTCTGCTGACTGGCTTTGACATCTTCATAGGTTCTCACTGTCTGTGGTTGAAACGATGCTTCCAAGATAAATGATTAGTGAAGAAGGTAACCTCTGTTAAATCTCTCCTCTTGATGGTGATTATTGGTGATTGTTGTTGCTGATGGTGGCGATGGTTGTTGGTTATCTTCATCACCTCCATCTCCACCTTCTCTATGTTCACCTAGAAGGAGTCCTATCCTCGCTGCCAGCCAGCATCTTCTGCCAGTTTGTTGGTTTTCGCCTGTAATTCTTCAAGTTTGTTTTTTTGTGACATTAGCTGGTGGATTACATCATGAGCTGATACCACTTAGAGAATCATTGGAAAACCTTCGGGGAGTACTGGACAGCCAGCTGTTTCTTAAGCCTAGTTTGGGACTCCTCTTCCACAGCACACACCCACCGGTTGACATTAACACATAAATCATCCACGCATCAAGTCTAGATCTTCTAGAGTCTTCTTATCGTTCAGTGCAGCCTACTCTTGTCTTCGCACTCACTCACTCACCCCCAACGCAGAATCGAGTCCACCAGAATTAAGAATATCATTGGCAATCTGCTGAGAGTTAGCTTTTATTTTATTACATCACCTTTTTAAATTCCTCTGGTTCATTAGGTGAGAGAGAGAGAGAGTCAGTCGGTCGGTCGGTTTTCGACATAGAACTTTGCACATATGTACGGCAGTTCAAGTCGCCACACTCCCTCCACTCCTTGTAGCACACAAAGCAAGAGAAGAAAGTAGGAGGAATGCATAATAACAAACGTTGGTGTGAGACAAAGGAATAGTAGTAAGGAAGAACAAAACAGTTTCATTGGAAATCATGAGTCACAAGGAGTGGATGCATCTGCGCCAGCCAGGCATTGAGAACGATTTTGAGCCATGTCACCAATTGTTTCCAGCCTTCATTGGTTTTTACCGTCCCGAGGACCCCAACCAGTCAGGAAGCCAGTCTACACCTACCTACGTGGCTGGCTTAGACTAACTGTTGTAGATTTCATTGACTGGTGAAGCCATGTTTTCGTTTGACCGCCACTAGCTCTTTTCCAGTCTGGCCCTATATCAGCTAACATTGCCCATTGTCGAGGAAGGCGATGACTAGGCGTGCATGCGTAACACATGTCCTAACCATCTCAGTCGATGTAATTTCACAGTTTCGTCGACTGATTTCCCCTCCTTACCTAGCAGTCAAGCGACGCCTAGCCTCAATATTGCACACTTTATTATACCACTTCGCACGGGAGATAGAACGTAGACACCTATAATCGAAGACAGCTAATCTTTTCATGTCTTCCGCTCTCAATGGCCAGGTCTCACAGCCAGCCATAAAGGAGAACGGAGCGGACTGTTGAGCAGTACACGCGCCCTTTGGTCGATAGTCGGATATCGCGTCTACTAAGCCAGAGACGGCGTAAACTGGCATGTGCAAAACTAGCCCTCTGTATCCGTAGTGCTGAGATTTCGTCAGAGATCAACCCGTTGGCACTGGCTGGTGGTACTTCCCAAGTAAGTGAAGCGGTCAACGTGCTCTACCACTCCACTTCCTATTTCTAATCTAGGGATCGGTGAAGTCCAATCCTGCAACATCATCTTACATTTTACAGGGGCGAATCGCATGCCAAACATACGAAGATTGTTGCTCAAGGTGTTCAGTAGACTCTGCATTTTGTCAGCGTCCTCGCCTAGAAGGACTATATCATCTGCATATTCTAAGTCAACGAGATTATTCCCTGGTAACAAGTCAATCGCTGAGTCTCTGAAGTGAGTTAAGGTTAAGTCCATTAGCACATCTACGATGAAATTGAATAGGAATGGGGATAATGGGCATCCCTGACGGACACCACTAGTCGCCACCACTTCAGATGACAATTCGCCGTAAGCCCTCACCTGGCTGATGGCATGAGTTTGAGTAGAGTGCCTTGATCAGTGCAATGTATTTTCTCGTCATTCCCTTTACAGCCAAGCATCGCCAGAGAACCTCTCGGTCGACAGAATCGAATTCCGCCTTTAGGTCAAGAAATATAATGATTCTTGGACGCCGGTAGGAATTCCTATGTTCTAGAATCTGTCAAAGGGTGAAGATATGATCAATGCACCCTCTTCCTGGCATTTGATGTCATTGAAAGCGGAAGTTATGATGAAAAGGCTAGCTGTCTTTGTTCATACATGTTGTGTGGTATAACATAACAGGGTAAGTAGTGTTGAGTTTAGGCGTGTCATGTATTGGGTAAGCAGGGAAAAAATCGGTAGTCGATGGAGTTGTAAAGCTACATTGATTGTCAGGTGGTTAGGGCATGTGTTAGCCATGCCTCCTCCTTAGCCGTCGCCTTCCTATTTGAGAAATTTCAGCTGACATAGGATCTCTTTGGGAAAACAGTTAACAGTGGTGAAACCAGAAGAACATCATCGGAATCAGTCTAGTTAATAATAATAATTATTATTATTGTAATAATAATAATAATATTTTGCTTTATTCCAAAACAGCACTTGTGACACAGAATGGAATTCTCAGCATTTCACACTACAGTATTGCATCCAGTTAGTACATTATCAATAAATAGAATTCTACATAGATTAAGGAAATCTCAGTTCATTATGACAACAACACATTGGCATGTCGGTAGCAAAGCCAAAGCTGAACAGTGTTTGAAGGTGTTAGAAAAGTAGTTGCTGTCATGTTTACTGGC